ATGTTGTGTCACCAGGACTTTTGTCGCTGTCACGCGTGGAAGGTCTGCATGTATGCATACTACAGTTCTATACAGACTAGTGATGAAAGAAAAAAAAATATGCCTTTTACCCCACGGGAGCAACCGAGGTCTTGACAATAACTTAACTCGATTTTAGGTTTTGTCTTTTAAGTTCGTCAAACATCAGAATCGTCCGCGTTCATTTCAACTACTGTTGTATCTCCATGCCACCACCCTACCCAGGATCGTCGTGTTATTCACCGGGCGAGAGAATCAGGGCTGACTGAAGGGTGGGTGGTTTCTTACGACATGTAACAGACACATGTTTGCCCCACACCACCCACCACGGAAAATATTGCACTTTTCAATGCTCGGTGAACCAGTTGTTCACGCGGGAGAATGTGAGTGACAATCATTGTGAGCCCTCATATAGCATACGCAATTNCGAGAGAATCAGGGCTGACTGAAGGGTGGGTGGTTTCTTACGACATGTAACAGACACATGTTTGCCCCACACCACCCACCACGGAAAATATTGCACTTTTCAATGCTCGGTGAACCAGTTGTTCACGCGGGAGAATGTGAGTGACAATCATTGTGAGCCCTCATATAGCATACGCAATTTGGCGTCGCTACTGCCGACTGCACAAGTGTCTATGGCGTGTGGAGAGCGCAAGCGGGGACGGGGTGTGTGCTCGAAGTTCAATTTTTAAGATTTGTACTCTGTTGTTGCAAGGCGGACCGCTGTTGTTGCATTTGCTACGAAAGAAACGCTGACTAACCCATAGGGCAGCCATACCTCATGTGAACACTCTCGACGGCAGCGCAACTGCTGACCTCAACAGACCAAGCGTTAGCACACGTGTTGGGCGTGTGGCGCGCGCGCCATGTGCAAGCGAGCGGCAAAATAACTAACTGCTGTAGTAAGGGGAATAGCAGTTCATACCTCATGACCTCTTCACCAATATCTGTGATACTCATGCGTGTGGTGATATTCGAAACAACCGTGCTCACAGAACCCTAACAAGCCACTCACGCACTTCTGCTGCAGTCAATGGAGCGCTGGCTGGCCGTGTGACGGCGCCGTTGCGCGTTGATCATTGCAGCAGAAAAAAGGAAAAAACAGCCTGTATTCGAAACACTGGAAGCACGCAAAGGACCTAAATGCAGTTTGGTTACCCGATGGGGTGAACCAAAATTGACAGCGAATAGGTGTGTGAGCATCGCCAATGTGTGGGCAATCCATAGATGATGTGCACGAATTGGGATCAGCACTACAGCGCGAGTTGTGGCAGAATAACCAAAAACACTGCGCGGAGAGACTGCTGCCCGATGTGATTCCAGGATTTGGAATGTCTGCATAAAAAAAAATATGGAATTTTTTCCATAGGCGCGAACACCTGTGAGATTTCTGGGCGCCAAAAAATGTTTTGAGGGCAGGACGGTCCCCGCCTGCCCTCGAGGGCAGATTTCCGGGCGCCGTTTTTTTTGCGGGGCATGCATGTCATGTGCCACAGCGCAGCATGACTGAAGATACAGTAGTCTATGCATGGGAAGATATCACGCATGACACACATATGTTTACGCCGATACTCAGTTCGATCCACCACATCCCAGGAAACTACAACTACTGTGCAAGCGGTAGTTCGAGATCACGAGCGTAATTCTCCCTGGTGTCCGGTAATAATACATTGAGATACCCCCCACGGGCAAAGTCGCATGCCGACGGTGAGGTTATCAACAACAGCTAACGTTAACAACAATAACAGCCCGCCGGTAGCCACGGCCTCAACTGAAGCCCCCACCCCATTTTTTTCGGAGGCGGAAGTTGAAAGGTGTAGGCAAGATTGGTGTAGGGTGGATCCCTAAAGAAGGACGAGACAAAAAGCAAATGTTGGCAGGTGCTGCCTGCAGGGTGGCACAAGACTTGAGTGCATGCCAACCTCCGAAGTAACCGCGAAACGGCGACGTTCGACGGCTTTGCAATCACTTTCACGCCAACGCAGGATTTCTGATTCTTCTCTGTCGGTTCCTCGGTAGCCGCTCCTTTGTACCACCTGCAAGGTACTGGCGCGTCTGCCATGATACATTGGAATGGTTTCTTTCTTACCCTCTCACTCATCATCCTGTGGTTCACGTGACATCAAAAAAGAAGAAAAAGTCGACGAAAAATGGTGCCACGTCGTTCCCGTCTTGAATTCGGCAATAACATTGGAATATTGCACGTAGTGAGCCGGGTAGCGCGGTCTATGCTTCAGCGATTCATTACAGAAACACTTTCTTCGCCCAACGTCGACCATGCCGCTCGGACGTCGGCACCATTTGCCTAAATTAAGGAGACGAGGTGGAGCCTGTCTGTGATCGATTGGCAAAAAATTGGCCCTGCGGAGGCATAACCTGGAGGGAGTTGTGCACCCCGATCACTCCTTCTACTTTCTGCTGTGTACGCACAGCATGGTGTTGCGACAGGGGTTGGAGCAATTCCCGATATCGTCGTCGTCTTGACTGTGGGTGGGGGGCAAATTGTTTTCAGCCTGCTCAACTATTGCGAAGGTGCGCCGCTAGTCGTCCACGCACTCACGAACAAATGACAACCCTTTCGGTTCATTGGCACTGCTGCTGCAGTCGGGCCAAAACATTGACCCGTAAATAACCTCCCCCTTTCAAACAAAATGTTCGCCTGCCCACTCATATGGTAATATGTACTTCCATAAACAATAACCTTCTTCCCTCCGCGTCAGAGAGACACTCCGCTTTCAATGCTCTCGACAGCTCGTTTGACTCGCAAAGCGCTCGGAGTAATGCTCGGCTATTCGTTCCGTAGACTCCCTGTTCATGTACACATGAGCATAAAAAAGCATCCAAACGTTACGCCGGCGACCGCCATGGGCTGTTGGCCTTGCTACTCACGCTTGGCCGCAGGCTAACAAAAATCTTGACTCCTCAAGGACTCTGAGTCGACTTGGCAACAAGCCTTTGCTATGGTTACGCCCAACGTTCCGAAAATATCACTCTGCTCGGATTCTCCCTCCATGGACCATTCCCTAACGCAAACATACAAACTTTTATGCATACCGTAAATGACACAAGATAACACACCCCCTGGACCGATTTGCAAATCTCGATTTCTCAACAACAGAAAGAGTCACGGCGCCGAAAACCGCGGCGTTGGCACCGTCTCGTCGACAGCTTTCCAAATATGTATCGTTTTGTTTATGCCAAAAAATTATCGTTTCGTTATGCATCCTCTTCGTCGTGGAGTAATCGAGCAATGAAAATTGGTCCAGGGGGTGTGTTATCTTGTGTCATATACGGTATATATATACAAGCTGTACGTCGGCCTGGTTGGGCGGATGTCGTGAGCCTCTACCCGCCCGTACGTTCTAAAATTCTTGCGAGGCTACCCTAGCTCGTCCCTTGGCTTCGTCGACTAGCCCATCTCTTGTCTCCACCCCTATTAACATATCGTCCACCATTTTGTTCTTTCTCATACCCTTGAGCATGTCGGCTAACATTTTTTTGTTCTCCGCGGCATCGGGAGCGAGCTGCATGGGCGAAACCGACAAGGCAATCGAACAAGGGTGTGGAGTGTGAATGAAACAGACGAACAAATCTGTCAAAAATAATATTTACAGTACAGGGTAGGGGGGGCTAAATGAGACCGCTATGATCCAAGGGAAAACACGGGCCTTAAAAAGGGCACCCGGCAATATTCTCAGTATGAGACAACTTGAATACTCAGTCTGTGCTGAGGGATTTCACTGGCCTTATCTAGTGCAGGCGGCCATATAAATGCGGTCTTATATCGGGCACTCTACTGTACCATGAACCAGTGGAGATTCGTTCAAACGTGAGTTCAGACATGGTGGAAATACGAACAAGCACACGAGAAGCCAAAGGCTAGGAACGCAAATCAAGGCGCAATCAGCCATTCGCATTCAAAAAAACTCCTCAAGCACGCACCAAGTTGGAAAACTGGGAACAAATAAAGTCTTGCGTCGCCTGGGGAGCGATGTCCCCCAATGCGCATCTCAGAAATATCGATGATCGTCTTCGCTTTCACGGTGACACAGAAACACGATACTGGACACCCTAAAACGAGAGCCAACTTGCAACACGCGACCGCTGAACAAACCCAAACACAACCGTGCGTACAGTTCTTTTTTGTGTCACCTTGAGAACGAGGTCGCCCAGCGCATCCATTACGACACTGATAGCTTTGTCCATGAGCGGGACCCTGGAGTTGAGGACAATCTGTGGTACGGCGAGGCCATTCGTGGGGTGGTGGCGAGTCTGTGTGAAAATTACGCGACAAGTGTGGTGACACCATTAGAGGTTAGCACTCTGGAAAACTCCTTCACCGCGCCTGGAGCACGGGCTTGCTTATGGCGATTTCTCCAAAGGACCATGAGAGCAACCTGCATTCTGCTTCCTGCAAAATGCATCGGTGTGTGTTTCGCCGTTCTGAACGCTCATGACAGTCAGTACTTCACGCCGTTCACAAATGCAATGGGAACCGAACGGCCTGAACTTGAGTACAACGACCCAAGGTGCCATTGCAGAGAGCAAACAAAGTGCACCTGCTTGAAGAGCCGGATGTATTCCGACGTGGAATGGTCATCGATGCCGCGGATGTACTCGAACCTCAACCACCAGAGCAGCTGGTCTAAAATTCGGTCCGCCATGCTTGCCATAGATATCGTCCCGCTAACGTGCAGCAAATCGCGCAAGCGTTGGCGGCCCCAGCGGCGAACACAAAGAATTGCAAGTATTTTAATTGTGGAGAGCAGCAGCAGCGTCGCACGTATGGTGAACTCATTCCTGAGCAAACACGTTGCTCAGTGTTTACACGGGTGGAGACACACACTCGCCGCATCGAAGGATGTTGAAGTCAAGCGGTGGAAACGAGAATGTAGCCAGGGATGTTCACGGTGTAGAACCGCACCGCGGTGCGGTTTTCTGCATCTTGACATGGTCACGGTGCGGTGCGGTTTTGTTCATCTCGATATTTGACGGTGCGGTACGGTGCGGTGCGGTGTTATCATATCACGGTGCGGTTTTCCAGTGACCATACCTTCCTACAACACGAGCTACATTCCTCCATTGCTTCTACTACTACTACGATTGTTGGAATATGCAAAAATGCGAAAATGCTAGAAAAATGAAGAAATAATCTGGCAGCACCACCAGGCAGGTGGCTCATGCTCGCCACAGGCTACAACCCGCGAATGCGTTGACAATGGTGTGTTGCCGCCGCGAACCGTCTTCGGGGTGATCCCAGTTTGCGCGGCATCAGCAGCACCAGCAGAGCAGAGGTAGAACCACCGGGAGAAGTAGTTGGACGCGTGGCGACCACCTCTGCAAGAGGCTGGTCGCCATCGTCGGGGGATGACTCCATCAGAGATGGGCGGAGTTGTGCACGGAGCGTATCGCAGCCGTGGCGGTGTGTGTGTGATGAGTGGGGACACGGTTTTGCGTGTGTGCTGCATCTAAAAAAAAGAAAAATTATCAACGTTCAATGTTCCTGGTGTGTGTCTGCACGACAAAACCGTGCCTCACCTGCGGTTTATATCACGGTGTACTGCAGTTTTGGCTACGGGGTGGGACAAACCGCACCGTAACTAAACTGCAACTACGGTTATTTGTGGATCCTTACGGTGCGGTGCGGTGCGGTATTTTTCATCTCGAAATATGACGGTACTGTGCGGTGCGGTTGTGTGCATCTCCATATTTGATGGTGCGGTGCGGTGCGGTGCGGTGCGGTGCGTTTTTTTTTTCATCTCGAAATGTAACGGTGCGGTGCGGTGCGGTTAAACCGCACCGCACCGCACCGCACTGCACCGCACCGCACTGCACCGTAGAGAAAAACCGCACCGTGAACATCCCTGCGAAAATGCATTACTGGCGTGCATTTTCGCTCATTGCATGCAACTGTTGCTCAACACCTCCGCACGGAAAAACTCCTCTCGTCCGAACAACAAGGTGAGCGAAGATATTCCCTACAAGAAATCAATGGCGACATTGGTTTTGGATCGTATGTAACAATACAAGCATCGCCGATTGGATCATCTAGATGCACAACATCAGCGGCCAGCAAATTGGGCCATAATTGTTGAGAAAATACGAAATACGAAATGAACCTATAAACAGGAGGAAAATGTTTGGCTTCACGATCATCGAAGAAATCGACCAAAAACCACCTTGACCATCACGAAAAAAACACAGGCGACCTAGTCCCCACGTGTGTAGGTTCAAAATGCATCTACACACTTCTAGTTAGGCCCAGAGAACGGCCTTCCAGGCCAGGGTCGCCGATAATGGACACAAGCACCGGGTACGGGGAGGTGGGAAGAAGCCTAGTATGGACTAATCAAGCTGGTCGACCTCGGCACTGCAGGAAATGTTTGCGATACACAGCGTTACATCAAAGACAAATCAGGAGGGGACAACTCCAACACCAGCGCCAAACGATTAACCCCCCTAATCTTCATCTGTCAAGTTAAACGGTGGAAGCGATGATGACAAGTGCGAAAGAGCCGAATACCTGAAAATATCTTCACTTCGCGGGCGGCTTGTATGAAAATGGGGCGTGGACACTTGCTTAATAAGTGCGAACGGAAACGAAAACAGATCAGTGCTTCAAACGAGCCTCCCACCAAAATGCATGCTCCATCGACTGCCGAGACAGTCTCCCGAAATCTCGGACGCGGCACTCACCATTTGTCGATGTAAATCTCCGTGCCCACGTGGACATAAGGACGTTTTGGAACGGTCGGCACCGGGTCCTTGTTGTTCCTACACCGGAAGTACTTTTCTTTGAGGGTTTTGCCGCCGTTCGGCCGGCCGTCGAAGTGCCTGCCCGCAACCCTGTTGAACAACCTGCAAGGTATTGGAAGTTGATACAATAACAAAGACACCCCTTTCAATTATGGATACGACTTGGGGGGGGAATATTCAACGAGAGGGCAACATCAAGTAGCACTACAGCACGAAACGCGAAATTTGCACGAAGTAGAAATTGTTGCACAAGGCGTACTTCTGCATAGAATGGGGGTTTCAGGACGCACCACTATTCTAACGAAGACAATAAACGCGTGCTACAACAAAAAAAACACGGGCGTCATATCCAACGACACGATGATATTCACAGTTTTGGTTCCTGAAATTTGATAGCAGCATATCCCGCATGCCTGAGTCGTCGAACGAAAAACAGCCCTAGAGTGCGAGCGATGACGCAGCTTCTCCAAAGTGTCGCAACTGATTCTCCTCACATCTCTCATTGAAAGCACAGCACATAAGATCCTCGTGCCACAGAAGGGCTCAGATACTTGGAGTTGGCAAAGGCCTCACCTAGGGCTACCAATAGTGTAGATGCCCGCTATGTCCAAGTCGTCGATGAAGGCCACACGAGCGGCAGCATTTGTTGCCAGGGCACCACCAAGCGAATGTCCTGCAAAAAAAAGCTTGCGGTTCTTCCCCTTCTCGTTGTATAAGTCCATGATGGCCTGGTACATACCGGTGGGTTGACCGCTGGGGGTAGAGAGCCAGACAGTGCCCACCGCATCATCAAACCCCTAGTGATCACCACATACAAAAAACGGAAACGCATCGAGCATTTGTTACGTCCCGAAAGCTTTTTCGTCCTTAGAGTACTTGAAGGAGGTGTTCGAAACAGTGCCTTTGTTGCTGTCGTATCACATCACACTTTCTGCCAAGGAACTTCGGCTGTCGGTTGAGATGATCTTACCCGTATCCGATCATATTCCACAGAACCTTTCCCAGTCAATTTCGCCCGTTTCGCTTAGACAAGCAACGTGAGTCGAGGCAAAGAGAAACAAGGAAGTGCACCTTTTGAACAATTTTACGTACTGCTCTTGAGCCAAAATCAGCGATGCCTTTTGCTCAAGGAACATGCGTTGACAGGCCAGGTCCAGTGTTAGATTGTGCAGCTTGTCTTGCATTGCCGAACGCAACAACAAAACCTGCCCTTGCCGTAGCGACCTAAGGCACAAACGCAAACTCTCGGCTGGTTTGTGTTTTGGCGGATAGCGCATGAAAGCACATATTTCACACACAGACGTTCACAACTTGGACATTCATGGCCCAACCTCACCGAATGTACCCAAAATCTCACCGTATGCACGGTGCCCCCCGGCGGTGGCACCCTCCACTCCTGAGGACATTTTTTGGGCTGGACCTTGGCGTTGGTGTACCAATCGGCGATGCCCATGGTGCCCCGAAATACGACGGCGATGATGTCATCGCTAGCCGCGACAAAGGCGTCTGTATCGTGTAGGTTGCCGAACGGGTTTTTTCTTGCCTCCTCTCCGCCCTTTTTCGATACATGCGATGAGGCGCGGGGGGTGCTTAAACAAATGTTGTCAGATGTACTCACTGTGACGCGACTTTGCGATGAAGCTTGTACTCTGAGAAGGGCTTGGTTTCGACCTTCACCTCGTAACACTTTCATCATACAACCGTTCAAACCGTTTTTACTTGGACGGCTCTGAAACTCCAAAAATGTCAAACTTGAAACGGCGAAGAACTGGGCACAGTTCGACTGTTCGTTAGGGGCACGTGTCGTCGGATCCACTGTTTGTCGCGTTTTCATGTTGATCTTGAGTTGCGTTGTGCTGCTGTCGGTGACAACACCCGGGTGGCAGCTCCCGCAAATTGACAAAACAATATTCATCGGGGCTCCGCGGACATCGATGGTACCCCGCGTGAACCCCCAGGGATATGCTGACCTGTGATACCATCTGGTGCGTACCTTTGTCGCCGCTGGTGCTCCTAACACAGATGGCTACGTGCTGTGAAACCAGCAGGATATCTCTAGCACGTGATGCTCTACACGCGGAGACATTTGCATATACCGTGCGGTGAAAAGTGAAAGGGCTGCTGCTTCAAGCCCGTTACGCAGCTCTCAGCACCAAACTTTACGCTACTGTCCAGCTTCGAAGAGCTGACGAACTCGCTCGAGACTGCGCCAGAGTAAACTACATGGGCATAGGCACAATTGAGGGTCGTTCCAGTGAAGCACGCCTATCGCCTGTATGTTGATCAAACACGTCCAACGTGTCCACCTCCATTTTTGTTTGGACTTCTGCGGAGATACGCTGTAACTTCAGCGCTGTGTCGACGTCGATAGAGTACCTCAAACAAGCTTTCAATGGTGGGGCAAACTTTGGATCGCAACTACCGCCAGCGTTGTAGAGGAAAATTTGCTGGTCCCGATGTGAAAAGAGGCTACAGGGGGCTCCGTACCATCATCATTTGTGACGAAAAACAAACACGTTCTTTGCGGGGGCTGTAACCCGGGTGCAGGATGGGTCAGTGAGAGTCATCGGGGCACACGGGGTACGTCATGACCCCTGGCTGTCACGAAACCCCCACTTTGTCGCTTCGTCGAGCCTAAACTCATCCTGTGGTTGTCTGCATATTCCCTGATGTCGTTCCGAACAAAAGAAGAGCGAATATGAGCAGGTTGCATCAGCAACCGGAAAAACACCGAAACGAATGAGTGGATGACGAATGTCGTCCATTTTTGCTAGAACGGTACAAACGAATTGCCAGTTTGCCCCGTCAGTCTAAATGGGTGTGCCTTCGTGGCACACATCCCACCACCCACCTCAAACCAGTGAAAGCGGTCGAACCCAAGCCCTCTCTCGGTGGCGTTTCCCACCAGAAGTCCCCTCGCCTCATCCTCCGAAGCGTAGGCAATTTTGCTCAAACCCGCAAAAAAAAACGCATTCAGGGCCGAAAACCCCTTTGCAGATAGATCTGGTTTCATGTTCACCTGTATTTGGAACGCAGTATTCGTGTCATCGGTGTTCATTCACCACGAAAGACAACATATGGAAGATTTTCGAACGAAACATATTATTTTTCCAAGCACGTTCGTAAAAGTGCAACTGCTGTAATGTGTGCAGACTTTCGTGTGACCAAAATGTGAAAATCTGCTTGAAAAAGACTTCGCTGTTCTTCCGCCAGATGTATGCACTTGTAGCAATTCAGCGTTATTCGTGCTGCGGCTCAACTTAGGCTCGCGGCAGCGAGCCCATTCTCATGGTTCATTCTCAGGGGCACGCAGGAAGCTAGTCGGCATATTACCACGCACACCCAAGGACTGCTAGGCACCCGCGGAACGTTCAATCGACACGTAGAGTCGCCGTCGCTGACTCTATTTCGTGGGGACGTGTTTCGCGCAAAGGAAGGTCACCGAACCAAATGCCGAAAAGCCGGAAACCAAAAGTGTGATCAGCCCACGTCGGCGGGATCAACCAACACAGAGTCACAGAGGAAGCAGTACGCATGACGAGCATGGGCCATCAGAGGATCTGTTGCCGCGCTTCTTGTGAAAGGCACGCAAAGGCTGGTTGGTGCCCTATCGTATGTGCCCAGGACTCACCTCGCCGACTGCTACACAGCAGGCAACACCACAAAAAGGCAACTACACAGGCTTCAATTCCCGACTACACGCCGAGGTATTTCACGAGGAAATATAATAACCCCCACATGATCACAGAGAATCTGCGCAGAAACCTCCGAGCGATGACCGTGTACGTACCCGTTTGTAAAGATCGTACCGTAGTTCAAGAACACAGCAGACTAGTAGGATCTACAAGACGCCGCTAGCGCACGCGAAGAGTTTCGGTGACAAAAAAAACTTTCCAAGCAAATGAATGCGAGATATTCTCCGCGGTTTGTACCGAAACCGTTGCACTACCGAAGGTTAAGATAGAGTACAACGATACAACCGTAACGACCGTGGCCATGTCCTCTTGCGCCCCCAGCGGGAGGCCAGACATCAAACTCCCGAAGGGAAGCCTTTTCCCAAAGCCGATTTTGCCTCATCCTAGAAAGAAGAGCACTGCTGTGGGGGGCGAGCCACGCCTATCAATGTATTGCAATTCGCTCATAGATGTGCATTCAATGAGCCCCGACAACCACCGTCTACGCACGCCATTTTGCACTGCAGTCCGTTACCTCAGGTGAGCGAGAGATCTTCCAGGTGTGAGGTGGCATCGCGTTGGTGGGATCAAACCATGCCCTCTGTGCGCTGCTGCTGATGCCGCCGACGCTGCTGGTGCTGCTGCCAAGTGCATCAGCAGCGACTGTTGTCCTTGGGCACGACGCCGGAGCTGCTGGTTGGCTCACACTGCAAAAACACAATCAGAGGGAAAGAGCCCATGCTTCATGAGCTAGATACTTCTAGTTCCTACAGATTTGGCTATACCCGCCTTCGGGGAGAAGCTCACCGGGGGAAACGTGTGAGCGTGAAAGTCACGTATGGCCATCCACGCAAGGGCATACCGCCAATACACCGATAGTCAACTCACGTTCGCTGCTGCAACTGTCGATATGATGGCACACGAAGAGACACTGCTCGGCAACTGGGTTGAGCGAAAACACAGGCAAACGACGAATGATGTGCACGCCACGAAAATGTGGAACAACGAGAAGCAGGAAAAGGTGTTGCGTGCTGTTAATAACCTCAAGCAGGCCCCCAAAGCGATAGCAGAACGGCAACAGCAGTTGCTGATTTGCTGGCACAGATGGGATGAACAACAGCCGACACATCTGCAACTTCCGACAGGCGACGAGCAAACATCGCCACTCAATATTTAGGCGACATCTGGCAGTCACACGCGTTGTGCCATGTGCAAGATACAACAGAAAGAGTCGACTAAATATAGAACCGCAGGAAGGGGTCCAGCCCCCCCCTCCAATGTGACCCCGGTTGGGTTGTATAGCTAGTAGAAGTGGAGGATAGGGGCCAGAGGGGCAGACGACAGAGTCCAATGATAGGATAAATAAAAAATATATAACGTGGATGAGATTGCACAAAATTCTACTCGAAAAAATCAGCGGTACATCTGTACCCGCCCTTATTACGAATGTTCTGGTTATCGAAACACAGAACCACACTGCGAACGCCAGCTCTGTCAAGCAAATCGGTGCGAATAGTAACCGTGCGGACAAACAATCATTGCTCACAAGAGAGTTGGAGTTGAACCCGCTCTTCCCATCGCACTACCCGTGCAGGAGATGGCAAGAACCAACGCGACCCACGTGGCTTCGACAACGGTAGGCATGGCGAAGGCCAGGTGTACTACCCGCCACCAACCTCGACGACCCGGGGGTGCCGTGTGCACTGAGGTACAATAGCACCCCTAAACTTGTTACCACGAAAAATCTCAAAGCTATAGCTCCGAATTTGGTAGATGTGTGCTGGTGTGCCTTGTACCCCGGGAGGAGCTACATACCCCGCCGCTCCAGATTGATGGGGGCCGCGTCCTGGTGACAAGAACTGGAGTGTGGTCGTATGGAAATACCGACACAAATGCTTCCGGTATGCCCTCGCTTCTAGCAGACCTTCACGGCACCCAAGCGACCAGAAGGGAACGCAGCACAACCCCGGATAGGGGTCGGAACTTAAGTAACGCGGTCGAGTAGCACTGGAGCGCGCACGGGCGAGACGGCGAGACTGACTGTGAACGGCGGCAGGATAAGGCCGACAGTTCCGTCGGAGCTGATTGGCCCAACCTCGCCGCCCCCTCGACGCGCGAATCGGCTGACGAATGAAATGACGAAATTACGTCAGTCTGGTCTGGTCCAAAATGGTACAACTGCTGTAGCATGCACACATGCACACGTATGCATAGCACTGCCGTAGAAAAAACTTCGTACGCATGCATATGAAGTATGCATAGATAGGAAAGAGGAGGTGACGTCGTCTGCCGAGCGGACAGCGACGCGGCAGCGCCCAAGACGTCAAACCACCCGCAGTGCACCACTAAAGCCGCGGGCAGAGTTTTTTTTTCCAAAAACCGTTTCCTCCAAAAAAAGCGGACAAACCTGGACAAACACCTACAATAGCGGCAGCGTAAAACAGAAGTGCATGTACATAACCTGCAGCAAGATCGCAAAATAACGGCACCTCTCAAGAATAATTCCGTCATGTTCCCATGTTCTCCCGCTCTCACCGTGTTCTGTTTGTCGAACCCGTCCGGCACAGCACGGCTCTCGTCCTCGTCCTCGTCCTCGTCCTCCTCGTCTTCTTCTTCCTCCTCCTCCTCCTCCTCCTCCTCCTCCTCCTCCTCCT